GGTGTGCTTGATGTGAAATCTACTGCAGTTTTGTGATATAGGGATCCTCTAGGATAACGTTATCGTTGCTCTTTGAATGGAGTGCCACGTCCCATTTTATGGCTTTATAAACTAGAGTATTGCAAGTGATTCCGGTGAAAGTGGTGAATGTATGTACGGTGTCATACTTAGCAACAAGAAAAAAAAGCGCTGTTTTAATCACCTGGCCGGTCTTACTGACAGCAGCATATCACTTTATGACTTTGTTCCCCGCTGTGTCAGGCCCATATGATACCTCGACAAGCGGAACTGAAGAAGTGATGTGTAATAGTCGTTTTGCATGGTTCATTGCTTTTGTAATTCAGGCGAAACGGATGATTTTGTGGTATCTGACGCTGTCTACATTCTTTTTCTCCTCGTCCGTCGTGGCGTACGCGTGGATCACATTCGAAAGGAAGGAGCATAAGGTCAGCAATAACCATTGTTCTAGTGGACGTTCAATTAAAAGTTTATTCTTCCTTCCATGTTTTTAATTTATGTTGATGCTTATGTAACTATTTTTTCGAGGCTTATTTGTTTGTTTTTGTTCACATCGTGCTGGAGTTGTTTCAATTTTGGAGTGTCTGTGCCGAGATGATCCGTCCTCACTTCTTCGCACCGAGGCTTTCACGGTCATAGTCAAATCTTTCGGGACAAGATTATAGTTTCGAGTTTCGGGAGAAACGCTCCATCTTTCCATACCCCTGTCAGAATTTTGAGTCATTCCAAAAGCTGCAGCTTTCGTTGATAGGAAGCATCCCAATGGAATCAGTAACCACCACTAGTCATAGCGAAACTTGCGCGCAGCGAAAAGGCTTGTGCGCTGCAGAAACCAAACAATCCGGCTTTTGCGGGTCGCGGAATTTACACCACTTACAGCTCAGCCTGACGCACATTAAAATGAGACAGTACAGCGAGTGAAAAAACTTACCTGTCTTTTTCGAGTGATTCGCCAGTTATAAAAAGCATTAGCTGCTCTCCTGCCTAACCATAGTAACACCAAACCAGCAATAAACGAGAGAATTGCAAACAGGACCTGCATAAGAAGTGCAAACATGAAAACGCCACTGATTACTAATCACGACTGGAATGTAAATATAAAAAGAGACACTTGGCTCCACATTTCAGACAGCATTAATCACACTTTGCTAGGATGAAATCGACTGCCCCCAATTTAGTATTGAAGAGCACCTTCTAATCTATCTAAACCTTACATGACAGCCTTCTACACCGACGACATCAGAAGATTTTCCCACGGAAACATGGTTCGCGTACGAGCTCAACGGGGTCGTCGAGGTACCATAGACCATTACGACGTCCCTGAAATGCTGGTCAAAAGCGGTTTTGCATAGTCACAGCTAATGTCTCTGGGAAGCTATTCAACATTTAATCCATTGAAGAAATTATGTAGCAGCTTGTCGGAGCGATTACGGCGAGCCTCGGGTGAGCTCGACGCGTGGGGGGGGTGGGGGCGGCAGATGACATCATATGTCTAAAGACGGAGCATGAACGGAAGGCTGCCTTCTGTTCACGGGGGGAAATAACCTTAGTATATATTATACGCTATATAACTTCATTATATATATATATATATATATATATATATATATATATATATATATATATATATATATATATATATATATATATATATATATATATATATATATATATATATATATATATATATATATATATATATATATATATATATATATATATATATATATATATATATATATATATATATATATATATATATATATATATATATATATATATATATATATATATATATATATATATATATATATACAGGGGGGGCCAAAAAAAAAAGACATTTTGCCTATGTCGGACTTCGGCTCTTTTTTCTTCGCAGAGATTGCTGTCGTTGACGGGAGTTCCTCAGCAGAGTATTCCCTAAGTGTCCCTCTATAAGTGAACGCAGGCCCTCCTTCACTGCCCTCACCGTCTTCAGAATATGACGTCATCTGTCACCGTTGTCAAGCTCAAGCAGGTCCACCGTAAGAGTTTCAGCCTGAAGCTCTTACGCAATTTTGTGAATCGATTCGATGTTG